CAGTGTGTGTATCTGTGTATTTGCATGCATGTCAGTGTTTGTGTCTGTCTGTGTATCTGCATGTTTGTCAGGTTGTGTACATTGTGTGTATGCACATAAATCTCTGCATTCAAATGCCAAAACTACACACAAATACATCCCTGCATTGAAACATAAATACTACATACAAACACACCTCAGCCCTAAACACCAAAATTATATATAAACTCCTGCATTTAAAAATCAACACTACACATAAATGCATGCTTGCATTCAAACGCCAACACCACATACAGACACACCCTTTCATTCACACATACATACACAACACAAAAACATGCTTACATTCCAACACACAAACACTGCTCAGTGCTAAATACAAACCTGAAAACATAGGAAAATCGCAGAACCCCAGTTGTCAAATCATTGTGGGAACTGCATGACAGATGGCCACCCTTGCGATAACAGGGCCACCATTTTTTTGCAGCAAGTCTCTCTCTACTTTAGTTCTGTCATTGCGCTGGGGTGGTGGGCTTGATTGCCTGCTACAAAATGGGGGTGGGGCAGGGGGGGGGTAAGGTCCAGTGGGAAACTATAGGCACCAAAACAACTTTAGCTTAATGAAGAAGTTTTGGTGTGCAGATCATGCGGGGTCCTATCAATATTAAAGGAACACTACAGGCACAAAACAACTTTAGCTTAACAAAGCAGTTTTGGTGTACAGGTCATGCACCTGCAGTCTCACTGCTCAATTCTTTGCCTTTTAGGAGTAAGAACTTTGTTTATGCAATCTTAGTCACACTTTCATAGCCTTTCTAAACACTTCTTGTAAAGAGTCCTCTAATGTTTACACTTTCCTTTGCAAATTCTATTTAATTAAAAAAATCTTATCTTCTGCTCTGTTAATAGCTCACTAGACCCTGCAGGAGCCTACTGTATGTAATTAAAGTTTTATTGACAGAGCAGGAGATATAAACATTTCAAGTAAGTTACATTTGATGGGAAATAAAACCATTTTGTTTTTATGTAGGTTGTATTCGTCATAGCCAGGGGAGGTGTGGCTAGGGCTACATAAACAGAAAGAAAAGTGATGTAACTCCTAAATGGCAGTGAATCGAGCAATTAAACTTCAGAGGCATGATGATATGTACACAAAAGCTGCTTAATTAAACTAAAGTTGTTTTGGTGACTATAGGGTCTCTTAACCCCTTAAAACCGGAGGACGTACAATTACGCCCTCTAATAGGCGGCTCTAAACGCCGCCAGGCGTAATTGTACGCCCTCCGGTTTTTGTTAACTTACCCGGTCGCCGGCGGTCCCACGCCGGCGATCGCGGTGGGGGGGACTCCCGCGGGTGGGTGCATTTACTATGAAAGAGGTGTATTACGGTTGGACAGACATGTAGCGCAAATGCCAGGTTTTGTTTACATTTTGTTTTGTTCACAATGTGTACATTTGGCTCCGTCCTTAAGGGGTTAAAAGACGACCCTGTAGCTGATTGCGATTCCTAAAAGGATTTTGTTTTAAACATTGGAAGAGACGCTGGGAGAACTGTGTGAGGTCTCAAGGTGCCTACTGTGAAGGGGCATCATTGTCCTGTGTACTATGTTTATTCAATAAATATCTCTACTTTTCATATTAAATGGCTGTATACTTTCTGAACAGACCTTGTACTCTTTAACTTCAGTTAAACTTTCAAACTCCACGTGCACATGTAACCATCATGTATATCTTGCACAGATCAATTAAGGAAGATATCATTTACACTAAAAAGTATTTAGACCTATCAAAAATGTAATACTTTGCTTTGTATATCATTCTAAATAACCTAGAGAAAAACTCAAGAAGTGAAAACGAGAAGGGAGAAGGCAACCAACTCACAAATGGATGGAACCAAAAATATACAGAGCCTTGTGATCCAAGGCAGACAAACCTCAGCACATAGAAGAAACAAAAGACATACTAGGGTGCATTAAAGAAACTGGCATTGGGGCAGAAGAGAAGGTAAATCCAGCCCTGAGAATGAGTGGTGTGTTTAGAATGGTGAATAGTAGAAAGGAGGTTGTTAGCATGGAGAAAGAAGAGAAGAGCAGATGGGGAGATATTATGGTGGTATGGAGAGTGAAATTCAGCAGAAGAAATTAAAGCTGGAATAATACCTAGACAAGTACATACAGTGGTTCCCAAACCAGTCATTATAGCCAAGCAAAAGTCATGGCTTTGTCACAGAAAAGGGAAATACAGAAATTGTGGTTTGTTCCCTGAATTGGTTTGTGAATGACTGCCATACAGGGAGAGATGCCGACACTTTTTTTTATTTTTTAAAAATAATAGAACAAGATAATTTATAAAATTTACCATAATAAATTTGTCTTCAGTTATTCATAGATATATTTATTTGACTGATTTTCTTTATAATAGGGGTACTGTGCTTTAATTTTATTCAAGTTTCGCAAGTTTAGTTAATTTAAGTAAGCATACGTTCACTTGATTATTTATGTATTGCTTTATGTAATTTAACTCTACCAGCTGTGTTTATAATACTGTTTCATTATTATGGTCGTTATTTCAGAACACATGAGGTTATCTCCTTGCTGTTGGCACACAGAACTTTTTTTGTATAACATAACCGTAAAAGGTAAAAAAAATATTGCACCTTCAAATGCTTTAAGTAAATCATTACTGTATTGAAAAAACAACATGCAGCTTTCTATGTATTGTTTAACTGTAACACCCATGGTCAATAAAGCCCGGGGCCATCCATTTTAAAGTTCATTACAAAATGGAAATAAATATTTTGGTTACACAGGTTTGTTTTGTTTTTTTAAATTAAGCAATCTGTAAGCAAGTGAAGTTTAAATGACTACGGCTGGTGACAGGAATTTCGTCATATTCAAAGGTAAGTACACCTTTGCACAAGGTGCCCTTACAAGGTACCCTAGCCTGGAAAGAAAGTGTTCAAATTTCCAGATTTTCTTAGATTAAATTACTGGTCAAAGTCTCCAATGAAGATAAAAAGGATCCAAGTAGGTGCTAAATCCCATTACTGTAGGTGGGACAAGCATTTCTTTTGTAACTGAAAGGTGCTTTTCCAATAGAAGTCTTTGGGAAATCTTATATTCAATTACAAAAGAAAAAAGGTGCCTTATCTAACAGAATATATCCCTCAGGAAAATTCAAAGTATTCTGACTGAGATGCTCTAGTCAAGCAAATTTGCAGAGCAATCACAGCCCAAGTGCATCCTGGCTACTCTGTTTTCAACTGCATTTTATCAATGAGTAATACAACAAAAATGTGCTATCTTTTCAATAAACCCCTAAGGCATAGAATAAATACAATGTGTAATACATACAGATGAGAACCATGAAATATCACAGAGAACTGCAGGCTTGTAGAGGTCAAATTCCACTAATAGGCATTTATTTTTATTATTTTCCACCCTGACAGTGAAGAAGCTCATTTATGATTGACCTTGAGTTTAGACATTTCCTTCCAGCTGTATGCTATCATAGATCACCTGGATTAGACAGCAAAAGCCAAACAGCTGTCTACATCAAAGAGCCTGCAGGAAATAAAGGTCATGTAAGTTTTTTTTTTTTCCAAGTGCATAGAATACTCAGTGTCCCTTCCTCTTGCTGCAAGAGTAGTGAGGCCCACTGAGACTTTGCCTTTTCTACATCCTTGAGTCGCTGTGTAAAAAATTTAGAGTAATGCAATACACAAAGTGCCAGACTGCATCACATTATACTTTCTCGATGATTTGTAGCTGGCTGTCAGAAAAGTGTCACAAACACAGAAGTCAAAGAACCATTAAAAGCAACTGTTACAATAAGGAATAAGTAGAAAATTAATGCTCTTTTACTGTGACAACTAATTATAAAATAACAACCAACTATATTTCCGTACAACTTGAATTTTTTGAAAAGACATTTCCTGAACCTTCAATATAATAATGCATTCAAGCAGGGATAGATTGAGAGCCTTTGGGCAAAATTAGATCCTAGACCCTTTGAAGTGCAAATGTGTCTGCATTAATTGTTTAATATAACTCTCATTTAATACTGTATGCCTTTGGATGTATACAGTGTGAAGACCTGTGTATGAATGCATGTTTTTATTTGAGTCTGTATAATCTGTGTGATGGAACTTGTGCATTGTCTGGATAGATGCATGTGTTTTTTTTGTATATTGTGTCAGAATGAATGCATACGTTTATTAAGCGTGAGTGTGTGACAGGGGTGTGGAATTTTAAAAAAAATCACAAAAAATATCTATTTGTCCAAAAAAGAAGTAATAGCACAAATTAAATCCGAGTGGACAACTGGAGGCAAAAATGGCTGATCTGGAAAAATTCTCTAACTTTGCTATAGTTTTCTTTAATTTTGTATTTTAGATTTATTTTCCAAAAATTCCAAGTTTAGTAAATTACCCCGAGTGTAGTCTCTCCCATTGTCATAGTGTATGTGCTAGCTGCATGTGTTGTGTGCTGCTTGTATTTATGTACTCTGTGCATTGTGTGCTGCCTGCATGTATGTATGCACTTTGTGCATTGTGTGCTGCCTGTATGTATGCACTGTGTGCGTGTGCTGCCTGTATGTATGCACGGTGTGCTGCCTGTATGTATGCAGGGCCGGCCTTAGGGGTGTGCGAGCTGTGCGACCGCACAGGGCGCCATGGAACAGGGGGCGCCCTGTGGCCGACACAGCTCACTCATGGCCGGAGTGCAGGGGAGCTAAAAGAGGTACCTGGCTGGAGGATTAATTATTCTCCACCCGGGTCTATTTAAAAAAAAAAAAAAAAAAATCGCGGCAGAGGGGGCGGGGTTTACCGAGCGGCGGAGGCGGGGCTTATCGAGAGGCGGAGACGGGGCTAATACCTCCCGAAGCCCCTGCTGTACAGGAAGAGGGAAAGATGCTTCCCCATCAGCCAACTGCATCCACTGGAAAGAGGTAAGTGTGTGTGTGTGACTGTTTGCCTGTTTGTGTGACTGTCTGTGTGTGTGTGTGACTGTGTCTGTGCCTGTGTGTGTGACTGTCTGTGTGTGTGTGTGACTGTCTGTGTGACTGCCTGTCCTTGTGTGTGTGTGTGTGTGTGTGTGTGTGACTGTCTGTCTCTGTGTGTGTGTGTGACTGTCTCTGTGTGTGACTGCCTGCCTGTGTGTGACTGTCTGTGTGTGTGACTGTCTGACTGCCCTGTATGTGACTGCCCATGTATGTGACTGCCTGTGTGTGTGACTGTCTGTCTGTGTGACTGTCTGTCTGTGTGACTGTCTGTCTGTGTGACTGCCCGTGTGTGTGACTGCCTGTGTGTGTGAGACTGTCTGTCTGTGTGACTGTCTGTGTGTGTGACTGTCTGTGTGTGTGACTGCCTGTGTGTGTGACTGCCTGTATGTGACTGCCTGCCTGCCTGTGTGTGTCTGTCTGTAACTATCTGTCTGTGTGTGACTGCCTGCCTGTGTGTGTGACTTTCTATCTGTGTGACTGCCTGCCTGTGTGTGTATAACTGTCTATGTGTGTGTTACTGTGTGTCTGTCTGTGTGTGTGACTGCCTATGTGACTGTCTGTCTGTGTGTGTCGCTGTAGCTGTGCCATTGTTTGTGCCTGTGCCTGTATGTGTGACTGCCTTTAACTGAGTGTGTGTGTACATGCCTGTAACCGAGTTTAAATTTCCCCCACCCCTTCCTGTCAAGGCCGCACTTTGACTGACAGACGCTCACTCACTGACAGACGCACACTCACTGACAGACACACACTCTCATATACACTGACAAACAATGACATACACACATACACTATTACTTGGACACACACTGACAGATGCACACTCTCACTGACAGACGCAAGCACTCACTGAAAGATGCACGACTCCACTGACCGACACATACACACTGACTGACACACACTCACTGACACACACTCACTGACCGACACATACACACTCACTGACCTACACACTCACTGACACTACACACTCACTGACGACACATACACACTCACTGACGACACATACACACTCACTGACTGACACATACACACTCACTGACTGACACATATACACTCACTGACCAACACACACATTCACTCACAGACACACACACATTCACTTACAGACACACACAATTACACACTTACAGACACACACAATTACACACTTACAGACACACACACACACACATTCACTTCAAAATAAACACTCACAGACACACACACAGACATTTCCACTAACACTCACAAACTAATATTTTTTACATTTATTTTAAATCCACCCAGCCTCCCTGGGAAAGCTGGAGTGGATTTCTTACCAGCAGTCCAGTGTGGCTGCTGGGCAGGCAGGCAGGGGGCGCACAGGCTGAGTAAGCAGCGCTTAGTGATGCCGGGAGCCGGACTGACGTCATATTCTGGCTCCCGGCTTCATTAAGCGGCGCAGAGGAAGCTGAGCAGGAAGAGCTCAGGTGAGTATGCTCCTTCGCTGCCCGCTGCCAGCCTTGGGGGGGCTCAAAAGTGGCCAGCCGGTCAGCTCTTGAGCCCCCCAGGATGCGAGGCAAGCAAGGGATCTGCCTGGGGGTTTGGAGGGATGCTTTTTTTTGCCGCCCCCTGCAAAGTGGCGCCCAAGGCAGATGCCTTGTTTGCCTCGTGATACACACGTCCCCGGTGCCTGTGTGTGTTACTGTATTCAGGCAACTTGGTGGGAGGTGGGGGGGGCGCCGTGAAGACTTTTTGCACAGGGCGCCTAATTGCCTAAGGCCGGCCCTGTATGTATGCACTGTGTGTGTTGCCTCTATGTATGTACATTGTGTGCTGTATGTATGTATGTATGTATGCACTGTGTGCATTGTGTGCTGCCTGTATGTATGGACGGTGTGCGTGTGCTTCCTGTATGTATGCACGGTGTGCTGCCTGTATGTATGTAATGTTTGTATGTGGGGGGCTGTATTTTTAAAGTAATGTGATTCAGACTTTTATTCTATACAATGTGTGTGTTTTATGTATACATAAACAATGCTTGTGATATATGAACATGTAAATATTAATATAATGTACAAAAAAACAGAAACAATGTGTATACAGGCGCTTATAATTATTGTAGTGGGAAAATTGTGCTGCTACCACCAATGTGCAAACCTCTCACAACTTGACACAAGATAACGTATAGAAAGTGAAAGGAATGGTACAAAAACCAAATCCAATCTGTAAGTGGAGCGCTCCAAGTGAATAAACTCACCCCACTCTTGGTCTATATAAAATGACCTGTATGTGGGGATAGAATGAACAATAATATAGTGTAGTATATTGTAGATATTATTGAGAATAATAGTGGAGAATATGAAACCACTCACATGGTTCTGAGCCTTAACGGGACAGGCTCAGATCTCTCAAGCAGGCGTGTTTTAGGATCACACGAAACCTATATATAGGCAGAATGTTCTTGATACCTTCAACGGATAGAAACCACAATATAGTGTAGTATATCAGCATAAATATAGTTGCCAAAAAGTTGAAAATTGCTCACCTGGTTCAGAGCCTAAATCCTGGCTCTGAATGTATAGCTTTATGTGTCAGAAAGGGGACACAAAACCCTTTTGGATAAATAGCAGGAACACAGGATACTGGAATCAACAGTGGATTGTAGGAAAAGCAATTTATTATAAAATATAGACTAGCTATAACAAAAATTAAAATAGAAATTAAAAACTATATAAAAATACAGTATAAATATAGGAGAGTCCTTTATCTTGTTGATCCTCCGAGACGCGTTTCGCCCAGCGGCTTTTTCAATCAGTGTTTTCATCTGTGTTCCGGTTTTCTTTTTATATCCTCAAAAGAGCCTTCTTTAATTGCGGATGATCGGCGGCTGTGTTGCGTGACGTCATTTCCGCATGTGTCATCATCTAGAGCGGTCGCATTTCAATTAGTTCGTACACCTATGAGTCTTTGATCGCCATCTTGTTTGAGGGCAAAATGCGATCGCTATATATACGTCAAGAGTCTCTCACATAGAGACATCGTAAAGGGTAAAGACAGATAGATAAAAAGATTACTTACATGAGATATTCACATGGTAATATTTAAATAAACTTATTGCCTTTAATACTATCATTTGTGTGTTTCTTTTTCTTTACCTATACCCCTAAAGACACTACACTCCAATATTTATAAGGCATATACAAGCCACCTTTTTATAATTATAATTTTAGCATAATATGTATCTAGGCCTATGGCAGGATTTAAATATATATAGATTGTAACAAGATAATATTCAATCTATATGTCGTAGATAAAGTGGACTATCTAAGATCTAATGTCAATATATATCCATATCTCAGAGTAATGATAGCCTTGAATCACAGGCTGTCATCACCTGCCTCTTAAAGGGATAGGATTCATTAAGTGAGAAACTGGAAAGGAAAAATTTGTACATCGGTACATATATATATATATCAATCTATGTGTCTTTATAGATAGTATTATTGATACAGCACATACCTGTCTCTCCACACTTAAAGTGCCATTATGTTAACGAATAAATAATGAAATATATAGACTTATATATTAGGGAGTGGACTGTGGTAGCATATATGATGTATTAACAAGCAAGTTCCATCACAAAAAATGACACAATTCGAAGTCATTGTTCAATCCGTGAGGTAGCATGGTGTTTAAATTAAAAATCCACCTCATTTCCATTTGGCCCAAAGATTGTATTACATCTCCACCTCTCCAATTTTGGGTGAGTTTTTGTATCCCCATAAATTGGACTAATTCGGAATTCTTCTGATGGAATTTTAAAAAATGGAGAGAGAGGCTGTGTTTTTCGAAACCATTTTTAATGTTTCTAATGTGTTCCTGTATACGTACATGGAGGGGACGGATAGTCCGTCCTACGTATACAAGGCCACAAGGGCATATAATGGTATAAATGACTTTCTTAGAGTAGCATGTAATTAATTTGTTTATTTTAAACTTCTGTTCCGGATTCTTTGGATGTGTAAAAGATGTTATATGTCTTTTTTTATTTTTAGTATTTTTGCAAGCTGTGCAATTACCACAGCCAAAGAAACCTTTCTTGTCATTCAAAAAGTTGAGCTCCTTTTTTGTTTTAATGTGATTATGTACTAAAGTTCTATTTAAACTCGGAACACCTCTGTAGACTATAGTAGGTCTATCTGGGAGTATAGAGTTTAGTATATGATCATTTTTCAGAATAGGCCAATACCTATTCAAAATTCTTTTAACTTGTTTATTTTTACAATTAAAATCACATATAAATACAGGATCTTTTTTATTTGGGTCATTATTCTTTTCTTTATATGTTAGTAGTGACGATCTTTCTTTCAGTTTAACTTCTTCATATGCTTTACTTAATAATGAGTCTTCATATCCTTTATCCCTAAAGTTTTGTAGAATAGTCAATGCTTGATCTTGGAAGATTTGGTCATTAGTACAATTGCGTTTTATTTAAGCAATAAATAAAACGCAATTGTACTAATTGTACTAATGACCAAATCTTCCAAGATCAAGCATTGACTATTCTACAAAACTTTAGGGATAAAGGATATGAAGACTCATTATTAAGTAAAGCATATGAAGAAGTTAAACTGAAAGAAAGATCGTCACTACTAACATATAAAGAAAAGAATAATGACCCAAATAAAAAAGATCCTGTATTTATATGTGATTTTAATTGTAAAAATAAACAAGTTAAAAGAATTTTGAATAGGTATTGGCCTATTCTGAAAAATGATCATATACTAAACTCTATACTCCCAGATAGACCTACTATAGTCTACAGAGGTGTTCCGAGTTTAAATAGAACTTTAGTACATAATCACATTAAAACAAAAAAGGAGCTCAACTTTTTGAATGACAAGAAAGGTTTCTTTGGCTGTGGTAATTGCACAGCTTGCAAAAATACTAAAAATAAAAAAAGACATATAACATCTTTTACACATCCAAAGAATCCGGAACAGAAGTTTAAAATAAACGAATTAATTACATGCTACTCTAAGAAAGTCATTTATACCATTATATGCCCTTGTGGCCTTGTATACGTAGGACGGACTATCCGTCCCCTCCATGTACGTATACAGGAACACATTAGAAACATTAAAAATGGTTTCGAAAAACACAGCCTCTCTCTCCATTTTTTAAAATTCCATCAGAAGAATTCCGAATTAGTCCAATTTATGGGGATACAAAAACTCACCCAAAATTGGAGAGGTGGAGATGTAATACAATCTTTGGGCCAAATGGAAATGAGGTGG